AGCAGGATGCAGCGCACCCTTCATGCGACTCGCCGAGACTCGCCGAGTATCTCGCGCTTGGTGATGTGAGAGCCTGGTCCGGTGAGAACCCGGCGTGCTCCGTCCCGGCTTTGTAGGGATGCGAGGTCAATGATCTAACGACCAAGGCACGACTAAGGCATGCACCATGAGTACATCCCCTCCCCCGATCGCACCTACGGGACCCCCTGACCCCTCCCACTAGCAGAGCAGACCCCTATGCGGGGGAAGTGGGGCCGGGGTGGGTATCTCGCCTGGCCCGTCTGCGGATGGACTTGTGGGGGCACGGTGCCGGGAACACCAAGGACGCCTACGGGACGGAGACGGACGTGAGGGCCATCTCCGAGAGGTGGGCACGAAGGAGATACTGTAGCTAGCTGGTGGTGGTGGGGGTGTTTTCGATGTTTTAGTTGTTTCCCAGGAGGGCTGGGGGCGTTCTTGATGTGTTGATTTTTCCCCAGGAGTTGAGCGGATGGTTTATTCTCTGACAGCAGCGTATGATGCGTTCGACTGGCTAGGCTGGAAGTTGTCCATGCCCGCCCGCGTCATACTAGCCGTGGCCCGTTTCAAATGGAAACCCAGGGGGCGTTTGTCCGCCTCGTGTTTGTGTTTCTGGGCTGCTGCCTCCCCGTCCGCTGAAGTGTTCTGTGTCAACCATTGCCCAGGTGGTTGTCGCCGATAGCAGGAGCAAGCTAAAGGATTCAGCTCCTCGCGCATAGGCGGTTATTTTGTCACAAGCGACTGTGCTGCCTCCAATAGCACCGCGCCTTCCTTCAACTGTAGACACTGAGTGTGTTCTGTCCCGGGTAATCGCAGCAATCAGCACTGGGCGGGCTTCAAGCTCCGTGTGCTGACCCAGAACTTGTGGGGGATTCCTGTGATAAGCCGCTGCCTCGAGGCTCGAGTGCACGCTTTCGCGAAGACCTTGGGGGGGTGAGTGCCCCACACAGTAGAGTAGGGGATATATCGCGTGTATGGTTTGCGTGTGTCTGGTCAGTTTAGGGCACAAAAGGTGATTTCTCTTGTGGGGGTCTGGTGTTGGCGACGAGACGTCCCATCTTCTCGGGAGATGGATGGCTTGTCCCAGTAGAGCCAAGGACGGTAGGTCGGCGGTTGTACACCATGATTACGCCGAATCGCTTCCGTTTTGTGAGGAAATAACTGTCATCTTGTGTACTTTTGTACGATGGTGCTTAGTCTCTGTGCTGTGCTTGAAAGATCGGATTCTATAGTAATAAAGTAGCTGCCGTCCTCATAACCTCGCACAGAGGTGCCCCCCCCCCCCCCCCCCCCCCCCCCCCCCCCCCCCCCCCCCCCCCCCCCCCCCCCCCCCCCCNCAACACATGCCCGAATACCCCCTCCTGCCCGAACACGCCGCAGGGGGTGGGATGTGATCGCCCTGCAAGAGGTGTGGCATGCGCGAGAGCGAGACGCCTTGAGGCGAGCGGCTCTTGTGGCCGGCCTGAGGTACAGCCGCCACTTCGAGCACGGCTGCGGGGCCCCCTTGCTTGGACCCGGGATGGGGGGCACGGGGCTGCTGATCCTCTCCAGGTTTCCTATCACGGAGAGCTTCTTCCGGGTGAGGGAGGGGGGGG